ATAACAGCAATGAATGTTTTTTAAAGGACTTAGTGTATTCTTTTTAGTAAATTGAACCATGAGGCTCAGGCATATTAAAACATTGGAGCACTTGGGTTTCCAAGGTTCAGTGGTGCATGTCCATACACATGTAGGTAGTGATTTTCATATCTTGCCCAAGAAAAAGAAAATCTTCAAAGTAGTCAGCAGAGATCAAGTGATTTACAGACCTCAATGGGGTATGGCAGTACCATTTAGAACCACTTTGGAAATACTGGCACTGTTCATTTAGGGGCCAGAGTAAAGACTTTGGCTTTGGGGATAGAGTTTCTTTTCTTTTTTTTTTTTTTAAAGATTTATTTATTTATGCATACAAGAGCTGGGGTACAGGCCAGAGGTGTGGGGGGAGGGTGAGAGAATTCACCAGAGACAGAGTGGGGAACAGAACAGGCAGACTGACGAAATACACTGCTGAGGGGAGCAGTGGGCAAGACAGGAGAGGTCTGCTTCGCCATGTGGGTTGCTCCCTGGCTGGCTGGGGATCGAACTCACGCTGCAGAGGCTGCAGATTGCTTCATGGTGTGGTGCTTAACCCTTGCGCCACGAGGGAGGCTCTGCATCATGACTTTTCCGGCAACCCAGTATTTTGTATTTTCAAGGCAATCTCAATGGCAGCAGAGTTGGTGCTGTGTGGCTGACCAAGCTTTCATATTTCTCAGTAATTTGCCTTGTGTTTTCTTCTCTTCTCTCCCCGTGCCTTCATTCTACTCTTTGTTTTCAGGGAATTTTTAATGTAATTGGAAAAAGTTTTAGTGGTTCTGAGTAGAAGAAACCAAAATGCACTTAGTAAAAGCTGCTGGGATCCCAAGACTCAGTTGAGGCAAGAAAGTCAGCCAGCAAGGAAAGAAAAGTCCTTTTCATAGTTACATTTTTTAAAGCATTGATGTTTATTGTTGGTGGACTTCATTAAGCACTTCAGTCACAAGTGGTTTAAATAATGTGGCTAGCATTGGTGTAGGATAAGTGGAAGAGCAAATTTTAATATTACACATCTCCCGATCATGAGGTTTGTGACCCACCCTTTTATCAGCACCCCCCCAAGCACACAACAGTTCTTCTCTGTCCTGTTAAGGCAAGAAGGGAGCATACACTTAACTTTTTGGGTTGATTACTTCAAGTTTGTTGCAATAATGAAGTTAAAATTTAGATCTTTAAAAACCGATATTGTCTTCTCCAAGAATCACAAGCTTGTTACTTTTGGGTTTGGACCTCTGTGAGAGTGTGTGTGTGTGTGTGTGTGTGTGTGTGTGTGTATGTTGGGGGGAGTTATAAACAACCCCCCAAGGAGAAAAGTTTTGGACCCTTATATTCTTAAATGTGGTTTGTGATAAGTTTGTGGTTTCTACCCTCCCTCCCCCACAACTAATTTATTCTGAGCTCTGTTACTAGCCTTGGGGTTTTTCTGGAATTATGTTTTCCTCTCAGATGAATCAATGTTAAAGTTATCAAGCAACCCAAGAGCTGAATACTGCAGAGAACACGAAGTACAACATGAATGTCTGTTCCTCTCCCTGACTTAAACCCCCCACCCCAAATGTATCTGTAGACAAACCACATAGATATGTATTTTAATTCTTATTTATTTTTTAAAAATAACATCGGGTCATGCTGTGTGTTGTTCTATAGATTGCCTTTTCTGCCATTCACTAGGATGTGGAGAGGCTCCATGTCGGGACTAAGAGTTCACTTTAAAAAATTGCTTTTACTCTGGTTCACAATACTGTATGTGACTCAGGCATAGGATCTCACCTCCTCAGATGGGTGGCCCCACAGCACACCCTCCTTTAGGGTACCCCCAGTCTTTCATCATTGTTCATTCTGCCTTCTCCCTTTATTAGCTTTTTCCTTGATCAAGGTGGCATAATAGTCTGCAGTACTAATCCACATAGTTTAATACATTGTTCTCTTTGGGATCAAATTTTACATGACATGTTTTCTTTTGTGCTAATGGACAAATGTCACGGAGCTCATGTGGCCGTTTCTGGGGGAGAGCTTCCTAGTAGTGCAATGGTTGTGCCAAAGGGCGAGTGCATTGCAGCTTGGCTTCTGGAAGGCTGGACCAGTGCCTCCTCCCACACTCTGTAGTCCAGGGCACCTGTTTGCTCACATCTTGGTCAACTTTGGGTTTTATCAATAAAAAGTTCTTTTATTTTTTTGCTACTCTGATTATTAGGAGGAAATACATCCCAGGGCTTTTGATTTTTTATTTCTCTATTTCTAGGTACTTTGGCTAGGTCAGTTTGCCAGTAACATACATTTTTCTTTGAATCACCTTGATTTGTCATTCCCCTCCCATCAGATTATGCTTTTTTATTGTCTTATAGTTGATCTTTATATATTCTGGGTGTTAGTACTTTGATATATGTAGTTACAAAGCATGCAGTCTCTCAGTTGATCTCTATTCATATATGTATTGCTTAATTTGAGAATTGATATCTTTATAATATTGTGTCTTCCTATCAAGAATAATGTGTATTTGTTCATTTATTCAATCCTCCGTAGAAAGTTGAAGTTTTTTTTTATTTAATACTTAAATACTTCCTTGAAGATTTGTTTTATTTTTTTTTTTTAAATTAAGCCTCTCTTGCTGGCAAAGTAAACATTTTTTTTTTAAAACATCTTTTTTTTTTTTTAAGATTTATTTATTTATTTATTCATACAAGCACTGGGTACAGTCAGAAGCACGGAAGGGTGAGAGAATTCACCAGAGCCAGAGCGGGGAGCAGAGCAGGCAGAAGGACCGGAGTACACTGCTGAGGGGAGCAGCGGGCGGCAGGAGAGGTCTGCGCGCCATGCGGGTCCCTCCTCCAGTGGCTGGGGAGCAGCCGGGGATCAAACCGGTGCCGCGGAGGCTACGGGCAGCTTCGCAACCCAGCGCTCAACCGCTGCACCACCGAGAGGCCCCTTGAAGATTTGTTTTAAATAATTTTCTGTGTCTTGCTGCAGGTATTGCCTTGACCTGATCCTGTATATTTTTTTTAAGTTTTTTTTTATTTTTATATTTCCCATACAATTGCAACCCCCTGATTTTGACCCCAATCTCTCCTTTCCCCGCCTCCCCCGCCCCCCAAGTGTGTCTCTGGTTCATAGTTGTTTGTTAATTTTGATTTTTTTCTTTCTTATAGTTATTCTTTTTCCTGGTCCCTTATTTAAGTTTTCTAGATTCCTGCTATGAGTGAGACCATCCGGTATTTTTCTTTTTCTTTCTGGCTTATTTCGCTGAGCATGGTCCCTTCCAGCGCCATCCATGTTGCTGCAAATTGCATGTGTTTATCTTTTTTGAATGCTGAGTAATATTCCATGGTGTATATGGACCACATCTTCTTGACCCAGTCATCTATTTTTGGGCATTTGGGTTGTTTCCAAAGCTTAGCTATTGTAAATAGTGCTGCTATAAACATAGGGGTGCAGGTGCTCTTTTGAATTAATGTTACTGTGTCCTTTGGGTAAATACCTAGGAGTGGAATTTCTGGATCATATGGAAGCTCTATTTTTAGTAAGCTGAGGAATCTCCACAGAGCTTTCCATAGTGGTTGGATGATCCTGTATATTGGATGATCCTGATGTATGTTCTCTCTGGGTGATTGTGTATATGCAACTCTTTCTCTTTCCTTCTGTTTTAAAGATTTCCACCAAGATCACTCAGTCTTTTTTTTTTTTTTAAGTGTAAGTGCACATTGAAATTTTTTATTTTAAGATTTATTTACTTATACATAGAAGAACTGGGGTATAGCCCAGAGGTGTAGGGGGTGAGAGGATTCACCAGAGACAGTGGGGAACAGAACAGGCAGATTGACCAAAGTACACTGCTGAGGGGAGCAGTGGGTGAGACAGGAGAGGTCTTCTGCGCCATGTGGGTTGCTCCCTGGCAGACTGGGGATCGAACTCGTGCTGCAGAGGTTGCGGATAGCTTTATATGTTGCGTCTTAACCCCTTGCGCCACCAGGGAGGCCCTGGACCAGCTACATTTTAAGTGCACAGCAGTCACATGTGGCTCGTGGCTGCCATATTGGACAGTGTGTATAGAAGGCTCTCACTCAGAGTGAGTCTGCATTCCAGTTATTCTAACAATTAATATGCTGGTTTCCCAACCACAGCAGATTGAAGCAGTAAAAAAAAAAAGAAAGAAAAGAAAAAAGGGAGAGTGATGGAATGGGAAAGATAGAATTATAAGTGGCTGGAGTCTTTCGAAGAAAAGCATCCACACCTGTGTGGGGTGGGTTCTCCTTCCTGAAGCACCCTCTGCGGTAGCTTGGTAAAATGATGATGAATAATTGATATCTTTCCGTGCGTGTCCTGCACTTCATAACCTACGGTACCATGGAGAGGCGAAATGATACTCACTGTCCTCCAAGCAGGTAGGGATGTGTGAAGAATCTGTGGGAAAAGTTGAGGAAGCCTTCTATGAAGTGTCCTAAAATGAAAGTGGTGTCGTACAGGAACTCGTCATGAGGCTCTCGTCATCTGGAAAGCTGGGAGCCTGTAAATGTGACTTTACAGGGGTGTGTGCCTCCTTATGTCTCATGATGGTGAAGTTTCAAGGAGTTTCACGTCTGGTCTGTGGGGCAGTGCTGTAGCTGCAGCCTTGGAGTCTGAAGGCTTCCGTGGTGGCCAGGGCGCCAGCTGTGTTCCAGAGACCCCTGGAATCGGGCTTGTTGCTTTGGGATGATTTCCGGATGGACTCTTTTGGAACTGACCACCCTGTGGACATTTGCTTGTAGCAGCGGCACCAAAATACGTGGGGTTGCATTTGAGCTGCAGTACTTAGATTCTGACCATCAGAACAAGCTCCCCCCCCCCCCAAAAAAAAAATGCCTGAATCATATACCCTCTTTGCCTTTTTTCTTGTTCTTGTTCCTAGAATGGGGAGGGAAGCTGGCATAGTACGTGTACATTGTTCTCATCTAAAGCATCTAGTCCAGTGCTGTCTGTAACATTTCTCTCTCTTTTCCTTTTTGCAGGCTGAGGAGACTTGTAAATGTAATGGCTGGAAAAACCCCAACCCTTCTCCCACTCCCCCCAGAGCCGATCTGCAGCAAATCATTGTCAGTCTCACAGAATCCTGCCGGAGCTGTAGCCATGCCCTAGGTGAGTCCCTGAATCTTTGAGAAAACTAATGTCATTGCTGCTTGAAATGTCTTCTTATTTTAAAGATTTATTTATTTATGCATACAAGAGCTGGGGTATAGGTCAGAGGTATGGGGGCGGGGGTGAGAGGATTCACCAGAGACACGTTGGGAGCAGAACAGGCAGACTGACTGAAATACACTGCTGAGGGGAGCAGCAGGTGAGGCAGGACAGGTCTGCTGCGCCATGTGAGTAGCTCCTTGGGTGGGGACCGAACTTGTGCTGCAGTGGCTGCCAATAACTTCACAATGCTGAGATTTAACCCCTTGCGCCACCAGGGAGGCCCCCTGTTTGAAACTTCTGACTCTATTTCGTGGGTCAACCAAACTCTCGCTTGCTCTTTACTTACCTCTCTTGGAGGCAACAACAAAAGTGATTCCTTCATTTCATGAATTCGCTGGGGAGGACTTCATGTGAGACAAGCTCCGTACTGTTTTTTGGGCTCCTTATCTGTCTCTTCCCACTTGTCCCAAGAGCTGGGTTGGACCTGGGGATTGCCAAATAAGATGAAATGCCTCTGCTGAGCTGGTGAAAGTGTGTCATGACCCGATTCATTCTCATGAGGGCCTGAAGCTCTTTGATGCCCAGGGCTGGAGCCCCAGTCATTTGGTTCTTTGTTTCCTTATTTTCCGATTCCCTGAGTTGTTGTCTGGAAGTGCTTCATTTTATCTTCATGTTCTCTAGTTTCCTGTATCTGGTAGTTCTTTCTTCACTGGGCTGGTGTTCGGTAAATGTTTACTTGTGTTTTCCCTTTCAGCTTTCTTATCTATCCCTGCAAGAGAATTATTGTCTCTGCCAGAGTTACTCAACACGACTGCACTAATTTGTCCTATGTCCTCACACTAGTTTTGTGAAATTTTTAATTGTATTTTGTTTAAGTAGATAAAAGTTAATGGGTAATGAGTTTCCCCTGGTATTATTTTTATTTTTTTTAAAAGATTGATTGATTGATTGATTGATTTATACATACAAGCACTGGGTACAGTCAGAAGCGCGGGAGGGTGAGAGAATTCACCAGAGCCAGAGCGGGGAGCAGAGCAGGCAGAAGGACCGAAGCCCACTGCTGAGGGGAGCAGCGGGTGGCAGGAGAGGTCTGCGTGCCATGTGGGACCCTCCTCCGGTGGCCGGGGAGCAGCCGGGGATCGAACCGGCACTGCAGAGGCTGCGGGCAGCTTTGCAACCCCGCGCTCAACCCCTGCGCCACCGGGAAGGCCCTTCCCTGGTATTAAAATTCCAGTTCAGAATCCTTAAGTATTATATTTCTGCTTTTAGTTACCCATTATATCAATGACTGTCTATTTGTGTAGTTTACTGTCCGGTATTGCAAGGATATAGCCCTGGAGAGAATAGTCTTACTAATATACTTTGGTTTTAACCACCTGACCATTTTTAAGTGGGTGACTTCTTTTTGCCATTATCTCTTTCTCGTGCTTCCTGCTGATATCAAATGGCTCAGCATTGGCTTTCGGGCTAGTATGGTGGTAGGTTGAATCTGAAGTTTTATTTTGTACTCAGCTGGAGAGTATTTCCATACTTATAGAGCAAAAGAAGAAGATAATGTGATCTTCCCAGGAGATTATTGCACTGGAGTAACCTTCTGGAAAAGAAAATAGAGACTACAGATATCACCAAAGATATAAACACACTAAAAATTACATCACTGCATTGTTTTAACTGGTGTCTCAAATAATGTCAGTTCTGATTTTTGAAGCAGCCAGTGAATGCCTTCTCGAATTGCCTCAGGAATCATATGCAATAAACACTGGGCTCCAGATCTTGGTCAGCCCTGAGTATGAACTGTATTTAGTATTGATTGGGAAATCCTGTTATCCTACATCAATTAAAACAGAGGCTTCTTTCTTAGTGGAGCAGATTGTTTCCCTTCCGAGCATGTAAACACACATGCATGCCCAAAGGCAGAAACATTCTTGTACAAAGAAAAGCCAACTTTGTTTCCTTTTATGTTTTTTAACGAGCTTTGAAAACAAATGCCCTTACTTGACAATGGATAATCAGGAATGGGGGGGGGTACATATCCTTTTACAACTCAAATCCATGCCAGAAATTTAACCTACATGTGAATTAAGGTGTACCCTCAAATTAGGCTAAAAGGATAGTTATTATAGCTTTATTCATGATATTAAAAGACTAGAAACAATCCAAGTATCTCAATGTAGGAGATAATTGGTTGAATCCTAACAATCTATATTCTAAAATTAAGTATAGCTACTAAGGGCCTCCCTGGTGGCGCAGTGGTTGAGTGCTGGGTTGCAAAGCTGCCCGCAGCCTCTGCGGCGCCAGTTCGATCCCCGGCTGCTCCCCGGCCACCGGAGGAGGGTCCCACATGGCGCGCAGACCTCTCCTGCCGCCCACTGCTCCCCTCAGCAGTGTACTTCGGTCCTTCTGCCTGCTCTGCTCCCCGCCCTGGCTCTGGTGAATTCTCTCACCCTCCCGCGCTTCTGACTGTACCCAGTGCATGTATAAACAAAACAAACAACTAAATAAATAAATAAAACATGCCTCTATTAAACAAAAGAAAAAGTATAGCCACTAAAAAAGATGTATTTTCTAATATTGAAAGACATTCTTAACATTATTAGTGAAAAAGATCATGAAAGAGTTTAATTGGAAGTTTATAGTTTAGGACCAAATTATAGGATCCTCTGTCTAGTAGGAGTTCCAATCCTGGCTGTACTGTGTGGCTATAAATTGGGGCATATTATTATTATTTTTTTAAGTTTTATTTATTTACGTATACAAGAACTGGGTTGTAGGCCAGAGGTGTGGGGCATGAGAGGATTCACCAGAGACAGAATGGGGAGCAGAAAAAGCGGACTGACTGAAATACACTGCTGAGGGGAGCCAGTGGGTGAGACAGGAGAGGTCTGCTGTGCCATGTGGGTCAGCTCACTCATGCTCTGGTGGCTGGTGATAGCATGAGAGAGCTGAGACTTTAACAACCCTGCACCACCAGGGAGGCCCCAGGGGGGTCATATTATTTAATCTTAATGGACTTACAGTCTTCTCAGTTTTGATTTGCATTTAACAATAGCATCTGCCTCATAGGCTTGTTGTAAGGGTTCAGTGAGGTAACACATGTAAAAGTTTTAAAAACAGGCAGCTTTAGAACATTTCTTGGCCAGTCAGTGTATTCCTGTTAATAATTATTGGTTATTATTAGCTCTTTTATTAGTAACAGTTGACAATATATCATTTCTTTCCCTGCACTCAAGAGATAGGTACACTGTCTAGTTTAAGGGAGAAAATGATGTTTATAAGTAGGACTATTAGCTCCCAGAAGCTGAAAACAGGGGGAGCCCCATTTCGGGGCCTGGAGATCTGGGCTGCAGGAACGCATGGACCTTCTGTTCAGGACATGAAACTGTTCAGGACATGAACTGGGTGATTCAGCTCCCCCACCTCTCTCCCATGAGTACTGGTTCAGGATTGGAATCCCCAGAGGAGGCGATCTGATTGGCCTAGCACCTGTCACGTGCGATCCTTGGAGGACTGCATGAGAGGCGATCATTCCCTAGGGCAGCATGCTGACTCAAGAACAGCATCACAAATATGGTCTCCTTTTATTAATATATCTGAACAGAAGAAAATCTGGAAAGATGTATCTTGAGGAGCAGGCAGCGATTTTCTCAGTATATTGGGGTTACAGGTATTAAAAAAAATATTTTTCCCCCTTGTTCTGTCTTTTCCTTCCTTCCTTCCTTCCTTCCTTCCTTCCTTCCTTCCTTCCTTCCTTCCTTCCTTCCTTCCTTCCTTCCTTCCTTCCTTCCTTCCTTCCTTCCTTTCTTCCTTCCTTTCTTCCTTCTGTCTTTAGTCTGCATTCTTAGAATTGACATGTCTGCATATTTTCTAGTTCTCTTGGAATTACTGCTGGAATGCCATGATTTATTTATTGATCTTAAGTAGCAGGGCCCTAGAAGCTCTGTTTTTGAGATTATGTCCTTCCTTCCCTCCTCTCTCAATAAATCATTTTTCATGGACAGCTTCAAAGCACATGTAACGTGTAAGGGTAACAGGAATACTTCAATAAACCATCCCGTACCTAACTTTGAAATTATTAACACTTGCCAATCCCCTCCTTTTCTTTGCCAGAATATTTTATGTAAGTTCCAGACGTCTTATTAGTGCAGAGTACTTCTTAATTATTACCAACAAAGCAGAGGTTGGCATCTAGGGAATCCCAACAAGCATCAAGCAAGCTTGAATTTTCAAATAGATTTCTGCCTGAGTACCTGTTCTAGTTTCACAGTCCCTATTCTGAGCATGGCTAATTTAGTCCTCAGCAATCAGACACATGTGTTGATATGTAATGTTCCTGGACCTGTCAAAACAGAATCTTTTTGGCTCATCAGCTGAGATGATGTCTGTTCTTTGATTTGCTGTTGGGTGTCTGTGGGCTCAGCCATACATGGGCTTTTGACAATGAGCTCTGGGTTGTGTGGCCTCCTGACACTTCCCTGCTCTGCGTCCTTGGTTGGCGATCGTTTGATACTCCCCTGTGTCTCATGGGTCGACAGCACAGGGCTGGCAGCCTGATCAAGTGGAAAGAACATTCATGGGGAGTTTCAAAATAAAATTTCTAGTCCTGGCTCAGTCATTTATGAAGTCCTTTAGCTTCTTTGCAGCTCAGTATCTTCATCCACAGGATGAAATAGTTCATCTGGACCTCACTATACATGAGTAAGGAGCAACTTTGAAAGGAAATGACTCCAAATTGAGTTGTCCTGTGTTAAACACATGCCAGGTTTCGAAAGCTTAGCATGAAAAAACATGAGCTCTCTCATTAGCCGTGATGACATGTTGAAATGATCCTATTTTGAATATACTAATAAAATAACGTTATAAAAATAATTATACCTGTTTCTTTTTTTGGTGTTGAAAAAGTTACAATTACACATATGCTCATGTTGTAATACTATTGGATAGGTTGGCCTAGAACATTC